GAGGATGGCTAAAATAACAAATTAAATAATAGCACAGTGTTAAAAAATTAATGCCTGCTCATCAAGGGGTGGTGTTTTCTTAGGTATGCTTTTTCATTACACCATTCTGTAGGAAAGTTTCCTGTAGTGAACTTTATAGGTGTGATTTAACCTACCTTGCCATTTTTTTTCTTAAATATTTTCTTCTGTTGAATAATCAGTCCTATACCTCTGTTAAACTAAACAAATCAATGTTTAACTCATTCCTAGAAAATAATTCTTTATGCAGAAAGCAACAATTGGTTTCCTAATTATATTTGTTTCTAGCATTTTTTTTTTTTTGTATTTTGCAAGGTTCTCAATAGAACTTGGAAACTGTGGGTGAAGTCCTGGCTGTGGTGAAATCATCTTCAGTTGAAGTAGTAATTTCAATAGAGTAAAAACTTTGGCCTTTGTCTTTTAAGTCATGAACCAAGCATATCACTCGGTGCATGTGTTTTCTCACTTACAGTCCTTGCTCTAATCCTGCCATATGTGCCTGCCTTGCAGGTGTAGTTGTAAAATCTGTTTTCCGTGTAGAACCTGTGTTACTAAGTTTAGTTTATGTGACTGGTATAAGAAAGCAGGCATAGAATTTAAAGCACTTACTAAACAATCTGTAATATACTACGGTTTTAAATTAATTAGTCATTCCTATATCTGCCAATTATAGGAAATTTTGCAATCAGTTTTGCCAGATACTTTTTTTTTTTTAAAGCTAAAATAGTTTGTGCTTCAACTTAAGGCTAGGCTACATGCAGTTGAAACAAGTTATTTGAAATTCATTCTTTACAGGTATTATGTTGTTTTAAGTTGAAAGCACTTCCTATTTTTTTCATCAGGAAAAGAAAACTAAGACCTCTGCATAAAGGAAAAGAAATAATAAGAAATCTGTAGTAAACGGGTATTGCAACCTATTCAGATAATCAAGACATTATTTTATTCATTAAATGAGCAAGGGAACTAGTAGAAGGCAAAGAGTTTTACACTGCTATTTTAAAGAAATAAAGATCCTTTCAGATTAATACTGACTGAAAATTTTATAACAGGACAATTTCTGCTGTCCTAAATGGTGTTGTAGTACTGCTCTGACAGTAGATCACATTTCATGATAGTATAAAGAAGATAGTCTGTTATGATATGTGTCCGTAAAAGACAAAGCTAGCATACCATATTGAGATTCTTCTATGGTAAATCCTGTAGCAAAGGGACCTTTTGTTCTCTATCTTCTTTACATAAAGCAAGCAATTTATTTCAAGTTGGAGAGTCTGTTTTGAAATAGTCTTAATTTTGAGAGGGTTTTGTGTTGTTTGGGTTTTTTTTTAACTTTATTAATTTAAGCTTCGGCCCTAAGGTGTAACTTTGAATTGTCTTGTGTGCATTTTTTGGTTGTTTTTTTTTTAATGGTCTAGGAATTGCATTCTTTTTGATTTTGAAAGGATAATTCTGAAGATGCTCAATGATGGTGAGTTTTGAGGTATCTTGTAGTGCTGATTGCTAGAATTTAACTCTTTTGCACGCAGCTGGACAGGCTGCATTGAAGAGGTTACTCTGAAGTGATAGGTAACTTCATGTATTGAAGCTTATGTAAAATCTTTGAGATGCTAGGGCACTCAGTGTGTTTAGAAATGTATTGTCACGTGCAGGATGCTGTCAGGTTTATTTATATATAAATTATTATCAGAGGATGATTGAACATTACCAAAGTCTTATGCAGATCAGTAAACTTCAAAGCAAGTGGTCAAGGACTTTCCAAAGTTGAATGCCTGATATTATGCACCCAGAATAATGACTAAATTACCTTCTGTTCATTTTTTGTAGGACAAAATAATAATTAGCGTTCTTAACCAACATGCACACACAAAAAACAAAGTCACTTGCTAGGTGAATCCATAAAAAATTTAGCATGTAATCATCATGGAAAAAATTGCCCTAAGTGTGCTGATTTTGGCTGGGATAGAATTACTTGTCTTCATAGTAGCTAGTATGGGGCTGTCTTTTGGATTTGTGCTGAAAACGCTGTTGATAACAAAGGGATGTTTTGGTTATTGCTGAGCAGTGCTCACAGAGTCAAGGCCTCTTCTGCTTCTCGCACCACCCCACCAGCGAGTAGGCTGAAGGTGCACAAGAAGTTGGGAGGGGACAGAGCAGGGACAGCTGACCCCAACTGACCAAAGGGATATTCCAGACCATATGGCATCATACTCAGCATATAAAGCTTGGGGAAGAAGAAGGAAGGGGGGGACATTTGGGATGATGGCGTTTGTCTTCCCAGGTAATCACTACGCGTGATGGAGCCCTGCTTTCCCTGGAGATGGCTGAACATCTGCCTGCTGATGGGAAGTGGTGAATGAATCCCTTGTTTTCCTTTGCTTTCGTGCACAGCTTTTGCTTTACCTATTAAACTGTCTTTATCTCAACCCACAAGTTTTCTTGCTTTTATCCTTCTGATTTTCTCTCCCCCATCCCACCGGGAGTGAGCAAGCGGCTGTGTGGTGCTTAGTTGCTGTCTGGGTGAAACCATGCCAGGGTTCTATGTCACACAGTAAACTAGTTGTAGAGGGGAGAATAACAAAATATCAGCACTTATAATGTTAGTAAATCTATTGGTATGAATTAGAACTACCAGTTTCTTTGAGATGCTTCTTATTTGGCAGCACTGTGTTTAGAGACAGACAGCTTCATGGCTTATTAGAAATTGTTCAGAAAATAAGCATGGTCCTTTGAATCTAGTATTAGAGGACGTAGAGGGGGAAGCCTTTGCTTTCTGTTGCAGCTGGGCTGCTGTAATGAAACTTGAACATCTCATGCTATTTCACAATAACAGGATAGATGAGTGAAAAGTTTCTGAAAACAGCTGTTGAAAGAGAACCGTCCGCCTATTTAGAATCATAGGATAATTTAGTTAGGAAGAGACCTTCTGAGATCATCTCATCCAATGTCTTGCTCAAAGCAGGTCTGACTAAATCAGATTGCTTGGAGACTTGCTGAAACTTAGCATGTAGTTCTGGGGCAGCATAAGCATCTAGGCCACCACAGTTCTTCCTAAACTGTGTGGGGTTTTTTTTTCCCCCTACCTGTAGATTAGTGCTAGTATGCATGCAGCTGTGTGCAAATCCCATTCAAGGAGTTTATGGGCTGGAACCAGCTCATTTTTCTTTGCACTTTTTTCAGGGAAAGAGGAAGAGTCTTGGTTTTGTCTGTATTGGTTTCTGTTTTGTGCACCACTTGGTCTATGAATATGAGGAGGAATGATGGGGATGAGTGAAGAGAAAGAGTACAGTCAAGGCAGTGGCATCCATAAAACCTCACACCAAATTGTTTCTTTGCACCTCAGTGGAGTACGGTTCCAGTGATGTTTGTGGAGGCAAAACTGGCTGCCAAACTTTCCCCCCAAAAATCATTGTTGACTTAACTATAATCTGTTCTGTTTCAAATACAGCAAGTAAACTTTCAACAAGGTCTAAATACAAGATAAATTAGAAAGCAGTGTAATTGGTATGGGAAAGAAACATGAAAAAGTCTTTTAGCTCACAGTAATTCTTCAGGGGTTTGAAAATAGTTTACTATCTTGCTTTTAGAATAAGCTATACAACTTCTAAGCTAAATCAGCTCTCCAAACTAGAGTTCAGAAAGTAAAAGTATTGTTTAAAAGTTTTCTAGTGTATATCTAAACATAGGTATACATTTTGTAACTTCTACAATACTGTCCAATAGAGGTGCACGTACTCTTTACTCCTCTTGCTGTGTATATAGGAGGTGAGTTTGGTTTGTTCCACCAGTGACCTTGAGTGTGTAGCTTTAATCTTAGAACAGGCTAAGCTTTTTAAGATACAGGTAGCTCTTCTGCCTGGAGGAATGATGTGTTAACGTCAGTGTGGAATGCTTCCCTTTCATCCTGGCAACACTCTGCCTCTTAGAAAAAGTCTTTGGATGTCATCTTGTGAGACCCCAAGGATGTGGGTTACAGAAATAACCCAGAGTTAAAGATGTCCTTTGTCATGATCTGCATCTTGAATATTGCTGTCAGACATTAAGAGTTGTGGTGAACAACAAACAGCAGTTTGAAGAGAAAACTGTCCTCTTCTAAAAAAAAAAAAGCCAGTTAGTCTCCAGCCTTGCATTATGTCAGGGAATGGAGAAAGTAACAAATTCCTTAGGTCTGCATCATGGCTAGTGCCACTTTAAATAATTTGATGTAAAGGTATGTATTACTAGCCTGTGATAACACATTTTGTCCTCTGACCTCCCTTTCATGACTTCAGGAGATATCAGCAGTGCAGGCTTTGAATTAGGAAAGAAATTAAAATGGGGAAGTGTCAATGTCTTTTCATATTCCTGCAGTCTCAAAGTCTCATTTGTGGCCTCAGCAGGTGCTTGTTGGTCTGAAAGATGTTGAGGTGAATACATTTCAACAGTGTATCCTTGGTAGAAAGGCAATAACTCCTGGTAAATTAATGTGTCCTTCAGGGCAAGGATCTTGAGATGCTTGAATTTTATTCTGTTAAAACTTCCTCCTTTTAAAATAATTCATTATTAAACATAGGTATATGTGTACACATCTTGAAGAATATACTTGAGGAATATATAGGGAAGGACCTGTATGTTTGCTGTAGGAGAATGCTCTTAATGTCATGTATTGTGAGCTCAAATAATTTAAGCACTTGCAAAATGACTGCAGTCAGAACTTAGGATCCAAAAGAAATGGGAAATATCTTCAACTCCCTCATTACCCTTTAGTGTTTTGGGTTTTTTTTTTGTTTTCTTTTTAATTAACCAGAGGCCTTTTGAAACCTGTTGAAACCACTCTATGAGAATATTGTTTGGGAAGAAAGCTCTGATAATTTATAGTCCTCCAATTCAAACGGCCTGTGGTTGAAATACAGGCAAATCACTCCTCTGAAAAACTTGTCATTTTTTTAAAAATTGACAAAAAAAGCTGCAAAACCCCTTAAATTATGAAAATGTCATCTTCTTTTCAGGTGAAAGTTATGTATGTGCATCCAATGAACCATATCGCAAAGTTGATTACACCAAGAATGTCAATCCAAACTGGTGTGTGAACATAAGGACTGGGTCCACTCGATCCTTGACATCTTTGACATCCACAAAGAGTGAAGTGAAGGAGAGTAAAGATTTCATTAAACCCAAATTAGTGACTGTTATTAGGAGTGGAGTAAAACCGCGGAAAGCTGTGAGAATTCTGCTGAATAAGAAGACTGCTCACTCCTTCGAACAGGTCTTGACTGACATCACAGAAGCCATTAAGTTAGATTCGGGTGTAGTCAAGAGACTTTGTACACTGGATGGAAAGCAGGTAGGAGAATAAATTGCTGTGACCATCTAATAATGATAAGTTAATCTAATCTTCTTTGTTTTCATAATTTGAATTCTTGTTACTGTATATGCTTTAACCTGCTTCTGAATAAGGACAGTTTAACAAATGGCAGCCTTTAAAATTTTTATTAATATCTACAAAAAATTAAAATGCAAAAGAAGTTGACCACTTTACATTCTAAGTACAAAAAAAAATTTTAAAAAATCTTAAAATATGGTTTTTGTATACTAACTCTATCGCATTGCTAAAAAAAGGTACCTGTTGATTAAGTAATACAGTTTATTTGAAACATTTGAAAGCAAACTTGTTAAAATACATATGTGTTTTCAGAAGCAGAGTCATGTTTTCAGACTACTACATAGTGCTGAGTGGTATAAGAAAAACGTTGCTGCCTCCTTCCATTTCAGTTCCACAGATTGCTATTTAAGTAGCAAAAGGACTGAAAAGTTTTTCTGGAGGTAGTAACTGACATGATCTAAGGTCAAGAATTTTACCTGAAATGAATAATTAGGGGGGGTGGTCATATCTTTGCAACTTGCTTTTGCTTTTAGTTCTACCACTGCAAAAACATGCTGCCAGGATTAATGATGTGGTAGGTCTTTTATTCTCACTCAGAAATACAAAGGAGTGGCCCACAGAATGTTTTGCTGCACCAGGTTTAAGTGTCAGGAATACATTTGCTGTTGATCAGTCAGGTTAATGACTCAGCCCTTTATGGGAACAGGACTTTGATACTTGATACTTTTATTTGACACTGACATGGAACTTTGACAGCATTGACTTTAGTAATACAGAGCAACTCAGGTTGCAAAGTAGATCACGTTTAGTATCAGGTACCTGAACTATTGTATTGTTGACTAAATATTATGGTCCTTGCTCATTCAACAGGTGTTTTTGCACACCTGCATACCTACATATTTGCATGAACTACTTGTAAAAGTTTCAACTGTGTTCAAACAGATGTGGGAATTTTTATTGTCAAGCTTTATATAATGGTTGTAATCCTATAGACTACTTAAAAAGCACCTTTTTGTGTTGAAAGTTGCTAGCAATGTATGGCAGAACAAGTACACTTAGTTTGTCTCAATATGAGGTCTGTCTGGTTATGTTGTGCATGCTGTGGATACACTTTTTATAATTAAGTACTTGAAAAGAACTTGTTCTGTTCTTTGGTATTAAATATAGCGAGGCAAATGCATCACTGAGACTCTTGATTTTTTGGTATTTGGTGGCACTATAATGTGCTCTTTAGTTCTTCTAATAGGTTTGATTTTTAATGAGATTTGTTAACATGATTTGTTAAGAAAGAATCCTTTCTAGGAACATCTGAAATGTGATTTAGTCATGTTTAAATTCATAATAAAATAGCTTTGAGGATACTTATTATACAGTAATTAGTCTCTTCTGCCCATGCAGTCTTCTGTTACTGTCTCAGATAAGATGATTTTAATCTTCTCAAGCAAGTAGATAGAAAGGAAACTGCAAAAACTAGGATTCTTGGTTCAGATTCACCTCTTCTACTGCATCGTTAATACAGTAGAAACTCACAGGCCTGCATTGATGTGGAAGATGCAGTAGTCCATCAGGGATCAATAAAATTAATTAGCATTAAATCTCACATATATTGCTTGCACATTATTGTCACCCGTTTTGGATGATGGCTGTCTTCAGTCCACAGTGAGGACGACCAATCGTTGGTAATGCTCCAAGATAAGTATAAGATTTCTAATTGCTGCAGTACCTCCTCCTGCTCTTTTGTGGTAAAGGCAATAATCAAACTTGGACTGCAGATGTACATGTAGGTGTTCTCAAGCAGGATTGAGAAATCCCTAGTTCTCACTGCTAACAGCCTGCAAATAGCTGCTCCTTACAACAATAGCCTCTCTGTGTAAACTGTTCAGCAGTAGTAGTGCATAAATGTGGAGATCTCCCTTCTATTTGGAAGAAAGGCTGTTTGCTTTTCCATAGGCTTTGCAAGGAGCCTTTGCTTGCACAATCATAGTGTAATCGTGATTTAAGTGGGCATGGGGTATGGTGCCTCAGATAGAAGACCTGTGGCTTTAAGCGCTCTGATAATAAAAGCTGCCTCCTGCTTATCTAGGAAGATAGAGACTTCTGGGGTTTTTGTTTGTTTGTTTCTTTTTCCCCAAAGTGAAGGGCTGACCCCAGTGTTGAGGCAGTAGGGATTTTTTTTTTAGTTTGTTTGTTCATTGCTGGTATATGTAGAGGTTGGTGCCCCAGGGCTTTGTGGGGTTTGGCAAATAAAAAGTTGCTTTGCTGCCAATTACCAATTGGTGGAAATTTCTGAGCCCATTTTCTCTAATGTAGTAATTGCTTATTCTTCTAAATCTGCTAGGGAGGCAGATCTTTTATGTTCATTGTAGTGTTGGCACAGCTTGAAAGGCAACCATTAAAAAAAAAAAGGCATTTTGTAAATGGCTATGTTCCTATAAATGTGGCTCTTGTGTTTCTCAGGGTTTTGGTTTTTTTTTTTTCTTTTCCCTGTTCCTTCATAATTTTATCTCTGAGGAAATACAAGGTTTTTTGTGGTTTTTTGTGAGTGAATAGGTTTAGGTTGTATTTTCTGTTTAATATGGAATTGATGCTGAAATTCAGTTGTTTAAAACATGCATGTATAAAATTTGTATCCTTTTATTAAGGAATGTGTTGTTCTGTTAATTTATGGGGTGATTTTGTTTTCCAGTAGAACTATTTAACACATGCAGTAAGAAATGATCATCAAACCAGTGATCTATGAAGAAATCTTCTTAATTTTGAGCAGTACAACAGAAAGAATGTCTTCAAAATTGTTTTTTACTCTTCTGAATTCATTAATCTTGACTGTAGCAACATCTTGATGATAATGGTAACACAGAGAATAACATCCATGTCAGATTTTTCCTTGATTATTGTGTATGAAGACAGACAATTACCTAGCTTTTAACAGTAAGATTTTCTAACATTTACTAGGTTTCCTTTTATCTTCAGTTTCAATATGAGTGCTGTAACAGCATATTAGTGCTTTGTACCCTCAAGTACAGAATTTCTTAACTACATTGATGCAAGGCTGACTTTTTCACTTTTAAGTAGTTGAGCAACGAACTTTTTTTTACCTCCCCAAGACTTTTGTGATGGTTTCTATGTGAGAGAAAATATTCCTGTAAAAGTAACTAGGCTTTAACTTTGCAGTGCAGGCTTCTGCTATTCCAGTCTTTGTGCTTCTTACATTGAGGTTTGCCTAATATAGTTGCTTGACCAAAGTGTTTTCCTTACTTGGCTGCATTTTTCCTGGAATCTGTCACTATCCTACTGTGAAGCAAGGACAGACAGACTGAAACTTCTCCAGTTGGGAAGTTAACCCTTCGTTATCTCGGAAGAGAATGGAGGGTTTCTGTCTTGCTGAACAAGCTTCAAGCGTCAGTCATTGCAAAGTGTAGGGTAGCAAGTTAACTGTAAATTACCTGCACTAATTGTTTAAAAGAATATAATGTATAGAGGGGTTGTGGGGGGAATTTCCTGTGAGAAACTCACAAAAAGCCATACAGAACTCTGAAGCATGTATTATTCGACCCAAAAGAAAATTAAATCTTCAGTCCAGGAAGATAGTAACTTTTTAAGCTTGCATTGTGTTGCAGTTTAATGGATTAATATCCCTAACAGGATTGAAAAGGTGGATGAAGCACCTTTTCTATACTTCATTCCCAAAATAGTGACAATGTACCACAAAAAAGCCTTATTTTAAAGGTCTTTTTTGATGGGCCACAGGTATGTTGGTGGCTATCTCTGAAACTAAAAGCTCCCTAATTTTCTGTTAATGAAGTTTTTCATAAGGTGCTCATTAAAAGTGAATGGATAACTGAAGAAAACAGATATTACAGACTCATCATGCTCTCCTCTCAGTAATTTTTTTATTTTCCAGTGACAGATTTGAAAATTCTTAGTAGACATGATAGCTTTTGTATACTGAATTTTGTATTTGGTTTGTAGTGGAAATACTAAGGAGACCAACTGGAGCTGTTAATATACTCACCATAGAGGGCAGAAACCAAAACAAGGGATGAGCAGGAGACCTCTCGTTTATTAGTACAACTGATATTCCCCATATTCTTTTTTCAGTTCTTTTGGCATGTAGGCTTCTGTCATTCAGATCTGAAAATCTTCATTAATATAGTACTTACCTCAGTAAGAGCTGACTATTTAGTACTGAGACAAGTTTTGGAACATATGGACTTTGTCCTTCTCAGTTTTGCAGTTTTGTATGCAAAGTCATACTTGGATGAGGGTTTTTTTAATAATTATATTGCAGTTAACTGAATAGTTTTAGCAAATATTAACCTTCAGTTCAATTCTCTTCTACCTAATGACAGTGGAAAGGCTACTTGGTTTTCAGCTGTATCTTATTCATCAGCAGTACATTTTTTTTTTTTTTTTTAAGGAACCAGGCCCTAAGAGTTAGGAATACTTTTTTTTTTAAGTGTCATTTAATTATACTGTTACATCACTGTTTGATATCTCATTGCAGGCCAAGAAACAACTGTAATAGAAACTTGCTTCCATGTTAGCAGGCGTTATGTGTAGTTGAAAGCTACTGAAGCCAAAAGAAGTCTTTATCTTATGTCTCAGGCTCTAACCTAGTATAGGCACTTTCATAAATGTATTGGAAATGGCACAGATTTGAATTTCTGCTACAGGCAATTTTGTAAGAACATAGAAAGCTCCAACTTTTTTGCAGTTCTAGTTCTGCTGAAATTTAAAACAGCACTTTAAGCTGAAATGTTGCATTAACCTGCAAGCATGAGGGGAAAAAATCCTTAAGCCCTTTCATTCTTCACCAAGTCTTAAAAAGGTTTATGTATTGTTATAGAGGAATGTCAGTGGCAGCTGCAAAGGGAGTAATTCTCTGCAATGCAGATCCCACAGAAGTTTGGCATTTGTGAGCAAGGAGTCTTTCCTCACCTAGCTTCAAGACTTTGAACAGT